AAAATTTTATCATCTAAATTATCGTGTAGAAAGCACGTCATTATTACAATTGTTTCAAAGGAATTCACAGCACAATGTATTTTTATTTTACTATACAGAATATACACTAGACATGAATATAATTATCTTTTCTATTGTCATTATTGTAAATTACATAGAGATTATTTGTCGATCCAGTTTAGTTTGTGTGGACTGTATGAGAAAATGTACAGGAAAATAAACCTTTTAAATGATTAAAGAACCGAATCGCTTAAGCTGATTTGTCAATAAGACCTTCTTTTTTCCCTTTTAACGTTTGATTTTTGTATTTACGCTCTACTGAAAGCGACTTTCATGGTTTTAATTGAGAATATTTTGAAGTGTTAAACTTTAATCACAACGGAATGCTAAAAGGTAAAATTTGTTTTAACTTTAATGATTTGTTATAGTGAAACTGCTGAAAAATAGCTAATTCGTATTGGAAAAATATATTCAAAAATATCCTTTTTTCCCAGTTGAAAAACAACACTGACTAAATACAAATTGATAAAGATTAATTGAGTTAAGAGTTGGTGGGGTAAACATGCTATAAGTGACATATGATATTGATTACCTATTAAAAATTTACCCGTTATTGAGCCACACAATCGATACGCAGTGAACAATTTGGACTTTTTTTGTAGAATATTTTAAGGTTATTATAATGTAAACGCATGAAAGAAAAGACATATGTTTACATTATGTTCCGAATTTAAATCTATGGAGAACTGACAGGCGGATCAAGAGTCTAGAGAGGTGTTAATTCATTTTGGAAAAGACTATAAGAAATCAGAGGGACTTAGTACAGGTGTATATTTCAGAAATTAAAATACTTTGCATATTTTGGATATTTTGATTATGATTAAAAAATGATAATAATTGTCAAAATCTCAACAACAAAAAAATCAAAGTACGCATAGTACTGAAGGCCTGGGCTTTATTGAACAAAATAACCAATGGGTGCCAAAACATGATTAATTAGTAGTATAGTGATAAAGTGATATATAAGAATCAATTAAAAAAAAAATGAAAACTAAAGATAAAATCTCAATATCGTAAATGATAATATTAATTCATTTATTTATCTTTTTAAAAAATGATAAATTTGAACCACAATTGACAAGATTATTTATTAACAAACGAACAAAAAAAATCTAAATTATCGTTTAAAATTTTAAGCGATTGCATCAAAGTGATTTACAGCATAATATGTTTCTCAAAGAAACATTTTCCTCCACAGACTTTTTAAATCTACATGTTCATCTTCATATCTATTTTCCATAGTCCAAAATGATAAAGAGAACACAATTAACGGTAGAAACATGTAAGTTAATTTTTTTTATGTCGTACATGAACAAGGAATCTGTCAACCCCTAAGGGTTTTGAAGGTAAACGAATTATCCAATGATTTGTGAGAGGATTGAATGAGAAATGAATGGCGGTAAACAAACATCTATTACGTACTGTAAATTTTTTTACATAATAAATTGTCATTTATAATCAAGTTCTCTTATGGATTCTGAAACAAATAAATAATATATTTTGCAATATCCCACGGTCAGATGATATTCCCATGGAATACTTAAAATTCAATCTTTATTCTCTTTTATTCTTCACAGTACGTAACTAGATCCCGTGGTCTATCTCTTTTTATACCGCATCCGATTTTCTATCATATGCTGCGCGAGCTTATTTATTATCTCTACAATTTGTTGAATTAATTATTGATGTAATTTGGTCCACAACAACAGAAACGCATAAATCATGTTCATCGATCCCAATGTAGAGATGATATCTTTATTAATTCTTGGCCATAGTGTCCTTCCCCAGAGAGCTATCAGTTCAAAAAATAGATTTCTCATTGACATAGTGGTATAAGGATGAAAATAAATATATAGTTTGGACAATGTTTGTTCGCCAAAGTAGGCACGGAAAGGAAGGTACAGTAATTATAATATGCAGAATGAATTTTGTTAGTGACTGTTTTTGATATCTTTATTCTAGTATTCTATACATGTATGTGCATTTTTTTCATTGAAAAGTAAACTGGTTGTAAAATTGTTTGATATTTACATGTAGTTTCGTTAAATTGTTTCAGTGGAAGTGGGAGTAGTTTCATTATGGAAAATAAACTTCTTGAGGTTTCATTTTTTTGTTTACAAACTTAAGTTGATAATCTTTTTCTTCTCATCAGAGAGCATATACGTAAACACAAATTGTATTTTTAAATATCAACATAGTTGAAACAAAAAAAAAATACATGCATATATTCTTGGTTATTATCATTTAATAACTTTAATTAACATTCATAAGATTGCTCGAATTTAAAACGTATACTCTGTTTACGGACTTTTGACTATATATTATTTAAATATTCGGAAAATATTGATAAAAATTGAATTGAATGTGCATTTTTAGTATTCCATTAATATAATATTCTTTACCTATCCAATCATGAATTTAAAACAAATCCTGCTTTATTCTGTACAAGGAAATAATTTCAATAAAATATTCAGATAACGAACCTATTCAAGTTCGAAGAACATTTCAACAATACAAATCGTGATCAGCGCAAACAAACCACCAAAATTAGAGGCAGGGTCATGTGCCATGGCAGGTTGAGCATCCCCTGCCTACCGGTCAAACCAGCCGTGTCCTCCTTGTCACGATCGGGAAATAACGGGGAAATTCGTTCACAATTCAGTGTGTAAATAATGGCCTTACAAACAGTATACAAACTCTCTCGGCTTTTGACTTAATGGTAAATTGTATTTGCTGACAAGATCATTGTTTCGACCATAGAACTAAGGAAATGATAGCTTAAAACTAGACTGCTAATAATCTTGCTTCATCAACTTGTTTGTCAATAACTTACCTCGTTTTAGAAACTGTTAATACGTAGAACATGATTTTCCGCATCAAATCAACTGAGAGATATAAACTCAGGTGACAAAGGTATATTGCTGTATAAGAAAAATGACGATTGAAAAGTTTAACTCATCACGTTTATCATAGAGCTTTGTGTCGAGCATAAAACGTACGCCATGAAGACTTCAGAAGAGACTGTGGATAATTTTGTTTCATAAACTCTTTTTTTAATTTCTGAACATTCAGAGAGTGTAGATAATCAAATCTTTCATTGGAAACTTGTTCATATCTTTTCTTTTTTTAAGGCTGGACTTCACATGAGATGGATTTGCTGGATTCTGTAAATTAACCCCCGTCTGCAACTGCGCATGAGAGGACTTTTGATAAGATGAGAGTAAAACATCGCAGGAACCTGTTGATATTAGTTGGATTCTTAGCCATACTTATTTATTTCTATACAGCATTTGTTCATGTCAAAACAGAGGAAGAAACTGAATATGGAATTCCTAAAACATTATTCAAATTTTCCAAAACTGCTGAAAGTCCAAAAGGAGGAACGGAATACGTTCAAAGGAAGCGCCAGCCACTGCCAACGTTAGGTTACCATAGTGATCCGTTACCTGGATACGAAAACTTATCCTACCGAGAACTTAGAAATAACCCAGTGCCAAATACAATTCATTATGTATGGTGTCATGACAGAACAATTTCATTTGAACACTACTTGTCTATTCTAAGTGCCTGGAAGTTAATGAGACCAGATTCCATAGAATTTCATAGCATTTATCATTTTAACACAACAGAGAAAAAATACGATATGTGGATGACAGAACTGAAGAGAACTGTTGCAGGTTTTGCCATTCATAAAATTCCCGATAGCTGGGATGGACAGGAAAATGGTTGTGGGGTGTGGTTTGGAATAGCCGTCCTTGACGACAGAGGGGGTATATATTTCTCGGAGAATCTTTTGCTAATGAAATCAATATCATCATATAGGCAGCATAATTTTAAGTTAGGTCTGAACAAGCACGGAGATGAAATGAGTTTTATTTTTGCAAAAGAAAAAGACAAGAGTCTTCGAGAGTTGGTTAGAATGAAGCGAAAGCAAGATTTGTCTCCGAATAGTTTCAATGATACAGTCGTCTGCGAAATTATTCCAAAAGGAAAGGTGTTAAATATTCCAGAGGATATTGAATGTTGCGAGATATCCAACATACATCCTGTAGATATAATGTATTCCAATACAACACTAGCTGCAAGGGCACGACAGGTTTTTTACGGTGATTCGGCCATTGTTAAGGATACTCCAAAACTGCCGGGAAAAATACCGAAAATCGTCCACCTCGTTTGGTATCGAGAAAAAGAGATGGACTTCATGATGTATCTTAGTCTGAGGAGTGTAATGACAATTCTTAAGCCAGAGAAAGTATTTATACACGGTGATAATCTTTTACATGGGAAATATTTTGATAAATTCAAGAGAGATCCTAGGTTACATACAGTATACAGGGAGGTCCCTGACACGATATTTGGACACAAAGTTCTTTACACTCAGCATAAAAGTGACATAATTCGAGCCGACGTCCTTCTTAAATATGGAGGTATTTATATGGATTGGGATGTACTGTGGTTAAAGCCTATTGACGATCTAATAGATAAAGGTTACGACGCCATATTTAACTTTGATCACATGACACGTAATGGCTACCCGGATGTAATCAATCTCGGTGTTTTCCTTGCAAAACAACATTCTCATTTTGTTAAGTTCTGGCAAGACAGTCTTGTAAATTACCGTTCAGAAGATTTTTATCATAATGCACTAGAACTTCCATACAAAACATACGAAAAGTATCCTCAATATGTACATGTAGAGCGCCATTTACAGGTGATGTGTTTTCAGTTGAAATGCCATCCTACTTTTCGGAATCACTATCATGAATTTGACCGGGAGCAGTACTTTGACTGGAAGAAAGAGGCCTATGCTATTCATTTTACGCATCCCGACCCTCCCGAGTATGCCAACGAATCTGCTCTGAAGCAGGGATACAATAAGTTTGCAGAAATTGGGCAGCACATATTAAATCAGAAGTACGAATATGATTGACAATTTCCACTTCATTTAAACATTCATTTAATCAGTCCAACATCTGTAATAAACCATGTTTTCAAATTTTATTTTTTCCTTTTCTTTTTGCATTTCTGCTTGAACAAAAAGTTAAAAGTCTTAACATTGTTTAAAACATTCAATGGTAAAATAAGGCAAGACATTTCGATTGAAATAAAAACACTTTAATACAAGTACTACTCTGAAGATGACAGCTAGATCAGTTTCACTCCGTTCAAAGATTTCGGAGTAAAACGTCATAAATCATTTCAAAGTGTACATCTGTATTGGGTGTTTTTATTACAATTTTAATGATTATGTATTACAATTTTAATGATTATACAATTTTAATGTTTATGAATTATGGCACAAATCATACCGGGAATCTCAATAATTATAAGTACATGAAAAATCAATGAAGAACTCTAACAAAGACTCTAACATTCTTATACGAATTAAGTCAACCTCCCACAATGGTGAATATTTACTACAGTATATAGACAACATTCCACAGTGGGGAAGATCCACTATATATCCAATCTTTCACCATGGGGAATTATCTATATGATCAACCTTTAATACTGAGAAAGATCTACTACTCGTATAAAGGCAACATTCCCCTTGAGGAATATTAATTATAAAGTCAATCTTCCACCATGGGTAATATCAACTATATCTACAACTTCCTACCAAGAAGAAATTCTGCTACGTGGGATGTCTTCAGCATATAGTGTACATGAATCATTAGCTTAAATGATTTGAAATTTATGCAGTCTATAGGAAATGTATCCTACAGGAAATATTGATCTTTGTGTCACACAACTATCGACAAATAACTTGAAATAAGACAAATATCCACAAATCTCGATAACCCTAAAAGTTTTGAAAATTAGTCTTCAATGAAATAGTATATGCGTGCACAAAAAAAGTGCAAATTGATAATTCTTTTCATTTTTTCTTTCTACAAGCGGGTTTATGTATTTCAGAATATTAGCTACAGTAAACATATCCCCAATAGAGTATACGAGAGGAAAGTTAAGTATATTACAAATACTCAAGGAGAAAGATGTTATCTATATATATGTAGTAAACTTTTTCAATGAAAGGTTTGCTCTACGGCAAGATTACTATACGACACAGGTATTCAACATTTAAGGAAAAACATTTTAATTTTTTATGTAATTTCTAGGATTATTGCTTTTTGAGATCAGCTGATATTTTCTTTACGGCCTCAAGAACATCTGTAAGGTTAGCATGGTCCCCAAATTCCATTTCGTGATGCTGATAATAAATTCCACTCTGTCCAGGCCCGATTACATACACGCCTATAGAAAAAAAAACATACCTATGTAAAACAATGCCAGAAGTACCTAAAATCATCATTCACTATTTAAACTTGATAAATCCATTACTAGTATTTCATTTTAAAAAAAACAATAAGTAGAAAGCATTGAACGTACACATCCAATATAATATAACAGTGCTGTAATTACTATTTGTACTCACTTTTTATTCAAGCACATGTAAAAACTTAGATATTGTATGTAAATCATCATTTTTATACCCCGCTAAAACATAAGCACTCAATTTAATACATTTGCTAATTTGTACGGTTTTATCGCTTGGCCTAAAAAAAATGCTGCTCTATTTTTTTTTCAAATATCAAAGATAGCTGAAATTACTTATTACAAATTATTCTTATCTGTATAAACAGTATTTGTTGAAACTACTTTTAAATGGAGTATACAGGTAAAATTTAACATCGTTTTCAGATATCAATGACTAGCAATAAAGTCATAGAACATTCTACTGTCACCAAGTCTTCGAATGATAAATAAAACAGACAGACTTCAAGCAAAAGCAAAATATTCAGTCATCAAAATAATGTTTACAACATGTAACTGTTATTAATGATTTGTAATAAGCATCCCCTTTGAAAGGTAAAAGTAATATAATATCTTTCCTAATATCGTTTGGCTTCGGTACCATTGCAGTAGAACCTACATAATTTGACATTTATTATGTCTTGGTTGCTTTAAGATTTTTCAGCCTTTTTTTATGCAATTCATCTATTAGGTAAGATATGTGACCATAACGGTAAATTCTGAAACGACCACTCGTCAGAAAACCGTTATTGAGTGTTCTGTGAATTCCTTTCTCAATCAAACAATGGGGTCTGTGACAAACTATATTTCCTTAGCTCGGCCAATAAAAACATCGTATTTAATTGACCTACCCATAAGCCACCAAAACTTCCGGTGGTTCATATTCAAACTATGAACGGTTCTACATTAATGACTTTTAAAAACAATTGACAAATAATTAATGTTTCATATCAACAGTCTCCTAGAAAGTGTTTATTCACCAAAGTCTTTAGTCTATTGAATGCCCTTGATTGCAAAAACCATCTGTCGCTAAATCGATTTTTGTCTTTCATAGGCATCATTGTAACATTGAAGTGGCCCTATATTTTTCTGTTCACCTGGTTATGACAGGGAGCACGAGAGGGCTATGAAAGCTCTTTCCTCGATCCCGATCCATCGCCATTAGAGAGGACTCTGTTCATTCGTCGCTTAATATCATTTAAAGGGACTTTTAAGAATGATCGCTCTTCATTATCTTCACATTTAATTTGCAAATAAATGGGAGTTCGCCTATCAAACTTTTATCAGTTGATCTAAATATTATCAAATATTTATTGTAATTTGTTTCCTTGAAGTTCAAACATTATCATTGCACGCTAATGTATACTTTTTATTTGAAAGATCTGTCATTTAAATCTACTTCATTAATAAAAAAAAAATTCCAGGTGCCTTTAATTACCTAACAATAAAATACAAAATAAAAAATTGGTCAGCCGACTACAGATCGATGGCAGATAAATGTCAATGACAATTTAATTATTTATTTCAACATCACAAAAATATTTATTGATGACTCTAGTTAAGCTCCGAAATATGGTGAACCACAAATGATATCTATAAAAAATTCATTCCAATACAGATAGTTAACATGACCAGAAAAATAGGCTTGAAATGACAAGTAACTGTTTGATAGTAGTATAATGAATTGTCTTCTTGTCCATTTTAACATGATTCAAATTTCAAATTTTGGGGTTTTTTTAACACCCTATTCTCGAATACTTCGCAGAAGGATAAAACGTACGCTCAACTAGGACCTTAGGTCCCCTGCTCAGTTCACGACTATCGGGCCTGTTTACTCCGCTACAAAATGTAGTGCGTTGCATACGTAAAGTGAAAATAGAATAAATCGTATTACTGTGACGTCTTTACAGTGTAACAAAATTCCAGAAAATTTATTTTTGTCAAAGGAATAACCATCTGATGGGTATCAGAAAAGAAAGGGCGAGGAAGGGTGTGTGTGTGTGCTGAGCAACATTGACTGCAATATCATAAGATATATGATATATGTAAGAGTTTAACATTCATGGATTATGTTGGGTGACCTGTGATCTCCCCTATGACTTTATTATTCCATGTAAGATTATAGCGACTCTGAGTAAACGACGTCCAGTCTCTGCATTCGCCGATCTCTAACAAGCAGGGGGAGGATGAAGATCTTGCCCCCTACCACCCCTACCTTTTCATTTCGCTCGGACTTTTCACCAATTCTTTAACATAATGGAATAATTATTCGTTAATAAATTATTTAATGTCCCCTTTGTCTTCCTTATGAGGTCATGCTTCAATAGGCGACCTCCTCACTTTAACACTTTTAGTAAACCCTGATTTTATTTTTCCAGGGGTCACCTTATATTGTACATCAGTAGGGGGACCAGAGGTCATCATATATTGTACATCAGTAAGGGGACCAGAGGTCACCTTATGTTGTACATCAGCAGGGGGACCAGAGGTCACCTTATGTTGTACATCAGAAGGGGGACCAGGGGTAACCTTATATTGTACATCAGTAGGGGGACCAGAGGTCACCTTTTATTGTACATCAGAAGGGGGACCAGAGGACACCTTATATTGCACTTTACATCAGTAGAGGACCCAGAGGACACCTTAAATTGTGTGTACATCAATAGGAGGACCTGAGGACACCTTATATTGCACTTTACATCAGTAGGGGGGCCAGAGGTCACCTTATATTGTACATCAGAAGGGGGACCAGAGGACACCTTATATTGCACTTTACATCAATGGGGGGACCAGAGTACAACTTATATGTACATCAATAGGAGGACTTGAGGACACCTTATATTGCACTTTACATCAGTAGGGGGACCAGAGGTCACCTTATTTGTACATCAGCAGGGGGACCAGAGGTCACCTTATATTGTACATCAGTAGGTGGACCAGAGGACACCTTATATTGTACTGTACATCAGTTTGGAGACCAGAGGTCACCTTATATTGTATATCAGTAGGGGAACCAGAGGTTATCTTATATTGTGCATCAGTAGGGGGACAAGAAGTCACCTTATATTGTACATCAGTAGGGGGACCAAGGGCCACCTTATATTGTACACCAGTAGGGGGACCAGAGGACACCTTAAATTGTACTGTACATCAGTAGGGAGACCAGAGGTTATCTTATATTGTACATCAGTTGGGAGACCAGAGGTCATCTTATATTGAACATCAGAAGGGATTGATTGATTTTATACTGTTTAACGTCCCTCTCCACAATATTTCACTGATATGGAGACATCACCATTGTTGCAAGTTTAGGCCTATGCTCGGCACTCACGGCCTTTGAGCATTGAGGGATTTTTATCGTGCCAAACCTGCTGTGACACAGGGCCTCGGTTTAAACGGTCTCATCCGAAGGACCGCAACATTTAGTCGCCATTTACGACAAGCAAAGGGGTACTGAGGACCTATTCTTACCCGGATCCCCAAGGGGAACATCAGAAGGGGGACCACAGGACACCTTATATTTCACTTTACATCAGTGGGGAACCAGAGGTTATCTTATATTGTACATGAGTAGGGGTACCAGGGGTCACCTTATATTGTACATCAGTAGGAGGACCAGAGGTCATCTTTTATTGTACATCAGTAGGGGGACCAGAGGTCACCTTATATTGTACATCAGTAGAGGGACCAGGGGTCACCTTATACATCAAAAGGGGGTCAGAGGTCACCCTATGTTGTAGATGATTATTGGGATCGACCTAAGGTCACTTTATATTTTACATCACAAGGGGGACCAGAGGTCACCTTGCATTTAACATAAATAGGAAGACATCTAAAAAGAAAAAAAACGGCGGACCAAAGGTTACAGATAAAAAGCATATTAACGGGATACTAGAGGTTCTCTTATAAGAACACGACAAGAGGCCTAAGGGTCTTATAGGTCATCTGAACATCATGTAAAAACTTTAAAACAATGGAATCTGGTTCGCGCTTTGAACCAGAGGCCATGACATTCTCAATTTTGAATTAAAAGCACCATTGCTCATCATATCTATATACTTAGCATGCTTAAATTGGCTACTTAACACCTATATAGAGCGTAGGGGAACAAAAAGAACATTTCAAATAATCAGTTATAATTAGCAATAATAAGTAGTGCCCATTGACCACAAACACCCTCATCTTGGAATCAAACATTTCACACTTTTAAAAAAAATGCACCCTTGTTCATAAAAAAATTTTGGTTTACACCAAATAACAAATTTCAAAGCATTAATTCAATTACAGTATTTAATTAGATCCCCGACCCCTAAATGGTACCCATGAGCCAGGGGCTTTGAAATTTATAATTCTGGAAGAGGCTCCCTTCCTTATCATATCTATATGTAGTTAGTTTAATTAATATCCAGGAGAAGAGAAGAAGATTTGTTTTGAAGAATTAATGAATTTTAACTTTACAATTTATATAGCCCCACCGTAACACCAGAACCCCTGACCTTTGGGTAACGAATTTCATAACTTTGGAGAGAATATCCCTCTTCATCATATCTATGCATGTAGTTAGTTAATGCATTTCACGATGCAACTTTTTATAGCCATGTCCTAACCCCAGGGCCCCTGACCCTGGGACAATGAATTTTACAATTTTGGTAGAGGAGTAAATGCTTATAATAATTATGCCAACAGTTAGACGGCAATTAGATGTCAATGAGTAAAGAAGATTTTTAAAGATTTCATCAATTGTAGTAGTCCCCCCCCCCCCCAAACGTTCTTACCTTAGGGGATGGAGGGCAGGGACCATGATTTAAAACAGTCTCCCCTTCACCCATATATGCTTTATACCAAAATTGGTTGTAAATGGTTGAGGGATTGCAGAGAAAAGCTGAAAATGTTCGAATGTTAACGCACAATGCACAGCGCACGACGCCAGAAAAAACCCAGATAGCAATAAATCACATGAGTTGATTCAGGTGACCAAATAAGGAGTCCTTTGGTCTCAATATTTATGTAAAATATTGGGTGTCTTCTGATCTCCCTGTTGACTTACAATATAAGATGACCTCTGGTATTTTTATTGATGTAAAATATACAGTGTCTTCCGGTTTCTTCATTGTCTTTCAAAATAGTGTGATCACTAGTTTTAATGATGTACTATATAAGGTGACCTCTTGTCCCCCTACTGATGTACAAATTATGAGGGCTGTTCAATAAATTATGTCCTGAACTCTATGACATACAATAGGTATGTCATATGGCATTAAGCTTGACTTTCTCTCATTATTGAAGTTTAATGAATTTATAAAAGTTTATGTGACCACTTTTCATCACATAGTTTCATTGTGAGAAGCTGGAAAACAAGGGTATTCGACACACTGCATTAAAATTGAATGGTAAAGAATCAGTAAACTAGAGTGAAATTAAACTGTTCATTAAAGCTGCTGTAAAACTTGTTAAGAATCCCAAAGAAATACTCACTGAAATATGTAGAATTTACAGCGATTAATGTCAGTTTTCTAGACAAATGTGCAGGTGGATTTCAATGATAAAAAATTATATAATGGGCATCAAAAATGAATACTGTCCTTGCAAACAAAAAATTAAGGTATTCAATGTATATCGACCATATTTTGTACCTAATAAATGAATGGTCCAGTATTTCTAATTATGGTAGCATGAAAATGTTATCAACTAAAAATGCTGCACCAAAGGAATTTACAAAATTTTGATTATTGTCCAATTAATTGCACCTTGAATTTTACAATGAAGTCTATGGGCAGCATATGTTTAAATCAGATATTGTTAAAATTAATTTGAATTTCAAAAAAAATCTCTTGATGAAATATGCATAAACTCCCTGTATATTAAACTATCATGAAATAAACTGAATTATTTACAACGGAAATTTTGAGAAATCAAAACTTTTCTTCCTTTCATCAATTGCAGAAAATTCTTCAAAAACTTTTAACGTGCAAAATGATCGTCTCCTTACGTGTTATCAGTCTTGTGAATTTGGTTCATTTCACTTTTATCGTTATCTAGCAATGGCATTTTAAGTGCTTGAAAATTATTTAAACTCATTCAAAATCCCTTCATTATACATTGAATACCTTAAACAACTGTAATGTAATGTTTGCCAAATTTCAACAAATAATCACTGATGATGTATGATTGACTATACGACACATAGCAAATTTGATAGACATCATTTTGGGAGTAGTTCACACTGTTTCAAAGAAACGTTTGACAATAAAAAAAAACTTAATACTCAAAAGTCACCCTACGTTTTAAAAAATGAGTGAAAACGGCTCCGTGTAAGAATATCTAAACAATTATTAAAATTATCAGTAATTGTAGTTATCCACGTTTATTTGAATTTCAAACAGATACTGAAACTTGAATCTATTGCTTAAAACCCTCAAAACAAAATTTACAATAAGATGTACTTGACAAAAACAGCAAAGGTCTGAGAAGAGGAAAGAATTGCAAGAGCACAAAGACAGATTTAAGTGCAATTTCCTTAAATATTAGTGATCTTGTTGTTCAAATTCGTATTCGGGGAGGCAGCTTAAATCTAGAAAGCATTTTTTTTGCACAAAAATCAAAAGGTTAATGAGTATCAGGAATCCACTACATTTGATGTTTTCATGACATCGTCCAAACCCGCAAGCTCTGAAGAGTAAAAGAGTTTTGGGGATAAACAGAAAGTTAATGTTTTTTCACATTAAGAATATTCGCCAGATCTTTCGCCTTTTGACTTGTTTCATTTTCCAAACTTGAAAAAACGCCTTTCAAAAGGAAGAAACAAGTCCAGGAAATCAAAGGATCTGCCATAATCCAGTATACAAAGGGTCATACCCAAAAATGGGTTCTAAAAACAATCAGAAATTGGATAAGAAATGTTACGAACATGTGTCTTGATTAAAAGATAATATTAGGTTAAATCTTCTAAAGTCTAAATTATTGAAAAGCGTCTTTTGTTTCTTTCCGAGCACCAAGGACATTATTTATTGAACAGCACACGTATAAAGTGACCTCTGGTCACCCTACTGATGTACAATATAAGGTGTCCTCTGGTCTCCTTATTGATGTTCAATATAAGGTGTCCTCTGGTCCCCCTACTGGTGTACAATATAAGGTGACCTCTGGTCTCCTTATTGATGTTCAAACAAGGTGTCCTCAGGTCCCCCAACTGATGTACAATATACGGTGACCTCTGGTCTCCTTATTGATGTGCAATATAAGGTGACCTCTGGTCCCCCTACTGATGTACAATATAAGGTGACCTGTGGCCCCCCTACTGATGTACTGTACAACATAAGGTGACCACCGGTCCCCTTACTGATGTACCATATACTAGTACATGTAAGGTGATCTCTGGTCTCCTTATTGATGTACCATATAAGGTGACCTCTGGTCTCCTTATTGATGTTCCTCTGGTCCCCCTACTAATGTACAATAAAGGTGACCTCTGGTCCCCCTACTGATGTACTGTACAATAAAAGGTAGCCTCTGGTCGCCTTATTGATATTCAGTATAAGGTGTCCTCAGGTCCCCCTACTGATGTACAATATAAGGTGACCAATGGTCCCCTTACTGACGTACAATATAAGGTGACCTCTGGTCTCCTACTGATGTTCAATATAAGGTGTCCTCTGGTCCCCCTACTGATGTTCAATGTAAGGTGTCCTCAGGTCCTCCTACTGATGTACAATATAGGTGACCTCTGGCTCCCCTACTGATATGCATTATAAGGTGACCTCTGGTCCCCCTACTGATGTACTGTACAATATAAGGTGACCATTGGTCCCCCTACTGATGTACAATATATGATGACCTCTTGTCACCCTATTGATGTACAATATAAGGTGACCTCTGGCCCCCTTACTGATGTACTGTACAATATAAGGTGACCACCGGTCCCCCTACTGATGAACCATATATGGTGACTTCTGGTCTCCTTATTGATGTTCCTCTGGTCCCCCTGCTAATGTGCATTATAAGGTGACCTCTGGTCCCCCTACTGATGTTCTGTACAATAAAAGATGGCCTCTGGTCTCCTTATTGATGTTAAATATTGGGTGTCCTCAGGTCCCCCTACTGATGTTCAATATAAGGTGTCCTCAGGTCCTCCTACTGATATACAAGAAAGGGTGACCTCTGGTCTCCTTATTAATGTACAATATAAGGTGACCAGTGGTCCCCTTACTGATGTACAATATAAGGTGACCTCTGGTCCCCCTACTGATGTACAATATAAGGTGTCCTCTGGTCCCCCTACTGATGTACAATATATGGTGACCATTGGTCCCCTTACTGATGTACTATACAATATAAGGTGACCTCGGGTCCCTTTACTGATGTACAATATAAGGTGATCTATGATCCCTCTAATGGTGTACAATAATAGGTGACCACTGATCTCCCTACTGATGTACAATATAAAGTTACCTTTGGTCCGCCTAATTACTTTCACGTTTCTGATAATATATATATTAGAAATTAGATCTGTTTTTTTAATTTTGAGTAAGACAAAGAAAGCTGTCTATCATATAAAATTCAATCAAAATATAAGGTGACCTGAGGTCTCCGTATTGATATCGATGAATTTACTTTTGTGTCTTTAATGCCTGAAGAGTTCCTAAAATGTTTATTACTACGCAAAATGACGAACTATTTGCGGGGGACCCGAGGTCCTAGTTGAGCGTACGTTTTATCCTTCTGCGAATACTTCACTCATATACTAAGAATTATCGGTATTCACTTATTGCCGGTGGAGGGGAAGTAATTCTAGACCAATACACTGCTCACAAATTTTCTTTACTTTTAAACGACATCAATGCTTATACGGCTCTTCAACATGACAACACTGTGCAAGGAGAGGGGGGCATTTATGTTACGTACTTATATACCAGAAAGGCCAGTTACCAAGAAATTAAAATTTTATCAAACTTATATTTGGGTTTTATGCTTAAATATGAAATATGTATTGTTTATTTTTGAATTACTTTTAATTTAATTTTTTTTTTTATTTATACAATTTTATACACGTAAGGTCCTACATTTAGAGTATGTTTTACCATTTGATTCCAAGCTGTTGAGAAGACTGCTACCTTTCTTAATACTTACCTCCCAAAAGAAGGCCTTCCCCTTCCAGATTTCCTGGAATCTTTTTCTTGCGAACAGTATAGGCATGATGAATGAAGTTGATTCGTAGAAGTCCTAATAATGAGGACCATCTCTCCTTGGGACCGTAGAACACTTTCTTTACGAAGAAAATTTTAAGATGTTATTCAGTGAATAAATATTATTGTATATGTCATATGGAATTTCAGTTTATTATAAAACCAAGAAAAATATGTTTAATAAAAGAATTTTAATGGCTAGTTGAAATCGAACATATCAAGAGCATTTAATTTTCTAAATTCAATGGAAAATGAATATTCTATATTTGTCTAAATTGTGCATTCAGACAGACCGAGTATTGGTGAAAGAGGATAAACTTTTAAATCAATTGCAAGGCGGTACCAATTGCAAAACTAATGACCAAGGTAAAACTGCTTAATGATAAAATTTAGAGGATGCGCATGTCTTCAACTTAGAGAACAATGCACATAAAAATGAAAATTCAACTAACGTCTTTTTCTCGCTCGATATTTACCATGTTGACCTTCCGAATTTAACGCAGCAAGAACCCAATCTTAAACCTTTAAGAAAAATTAAAAATGCTCTAATTCTGTCAAAAATCAATGAAGCGTCACGACATTCAAACTTGGTCTGTAACTCATCAAGATACACTCACATGCCAATATTCAGCTCAATATCTGCAAGCGTTTAAAAAAAAGTGCGGAAAACCAAATAGGACAGCGAGACATTGGGACAGACAGACGGACGGACGGACACACAGACTCAGTGGAATCCTATAGTCCCTCCGGTTTCACCGGTTGGGGACTAATAAGTACCAGGTAAGCCATGTTGATTAGCGCTCTAGTCCACTAAGGCAGAGGTTGATCACTTTATATTTACATTTCCAATGTCTTTGTCCGAAATAAATTTCAAATTGTAAATGTACTTTATTTCCCCATCAATGTACTGGCGCGGTTAAAAAACCACGAGCAGGGCGGGACAAAAAGCTAGACAGAAGCAGGGCTTGGAGCACGTGGATTAGCAGAATCAAAGCATGTAAATATAAGGAATCACTGTCTGATTTTTTTCAATTTCATGACGGTGATCAATCGATCGGCTTGCGTGATAATTTTATGCATAAACGCCTTCGGCGTTTAAAGCAAAATATTACGCAAGCCAATCGATTGATCACATCATGAAATCGAAAAATAAGACAGTTATTCCTTAATTTAATGTAAACTCGTATGTTCAGTAGGCTATATGTTCTGGGGGCTAGTACAATATGGAGTAAAATTTGGCAAACACAAGGAGAACAAAAAGTTGTTTGCTTACATCAGGATCAAGGTAGACATCTCCTTTGAAAAAAGGCCTGAAGTCTTCCACGCCCAGAGTCTCCTTGACTACAGCGTGTAGGGAAACTCCATGGGCGTCCAGCTGTGGCTTCAGAGAGGACAGACCCAGGGCCTCCTGTTTGAGGTGTGAAAATAAGTGTACAAGTAGGATCAATATCATCATTTATTTTACTGTCCCATAACCAGCCCCCGACTAGATACATTGGAATGTACGCGTTTTCCAGTACAATGTACAATAGTTGACAGGAGTACAAGGTAAACAGAAATATATTTAAGAATTGTAATTTTTATACATGTATGATAATACGTTTAATGTAATAAATCGGTACTGGATCGCAGTGGATGACTGTTTTTTTTTTATTTTTTTTTATATACAGAGAATGTTTCACGTGATTGTCTGATTGATATGTACTAATCACGTGACCATGTTCATGGTTTACTAACCTCTCTGCACATGGATCATCCGGGTCTCCGGACAGCCATGATAACCACTCCATGGTCTTTCCATAAGTCTTTGACCTACAAGTGTTGCTTAAATTTTTTAAAAGTTTTGGCAGGAGAAGAGTGGTTATTTGTGTGTTCTTTTTATCTTTAAAAGTTGAAAGCAAGCTAATTAATAAATAATTCATTTTTAGCTATGTAACAGTCAAATAGTCTGTATCAAGGGAATTTTTTTTTTTACTTTCAAAAATGATCATTTTATAATTATATCTCTCTCCCTCTCTCTTTTTCTCCCTTACTCACACTAAAAATCCTTGGGCTGGCCTCTATAGTTTGAAGTTTTCCTTTTTCCAAATACTTGAGTGTGGCCTTTTCTACAGTTGTGAACCATGTGACCGGTAGATTACCAATCACAGCTATCCCTGCAGTAAGACCGGCAAATCCCACCAGTACTGGCGAAATACCCATGATGCTTTATCAGAGGGACTGAAAAATATAATCACTTCCTGTAAATAATAATAAAAATGTAACAGTTTCTACATCAATCAAATTTTCTCCTGTTTTGCTGTCTTCCTTTTAAATCGATGCAATGTTTAATGCTTGAACACATTAGAAGATTATTTAATTTGATGACAAATATTGAAGCTAATCTTTTTTTAAAATTTCCTTGCATATTTAAAGTAGATTTAGATGTTATTTTCATTTTTTTAGAGATATTTGGTAAAAATTCATTTTCCAAGTGATTACTGCTGTAGGTTTAATTATTGTACAATTTACAGATTTATTGTAGTCGCTTCTACGTATAGTTAAGAAATAAACAACAATGTTAAAAGTTCTCTGGGAAATGAACTTTTAGTTGGTCACGTGATCAAATCCTGTGAAGCTCAAAGGACTTCTCAATAGATTTGATCACATGCAAACTAAAAATTCATTTTTCGGAGAACTTTTTAGCATCGTTATTTATTACTTATATTTACATTTGAAACGAAAAAATTATTACACGAACGGGTCGCCGTATTGCTATCTTAAGACGGGCAATGACCTAGAAGTTGTTTGGTCTAGAAAGTTCACTTCGCTCCAACATTTGAATGTTTATATTCATGTTAATCAGTCCAATTCAGGAAATATCTGTATATATAGTGAAAGAACAATGATCGCTGTTGAGAATAATCTAACTATTATACAAGTTTTTAAAATATATCAAGTCAAAAGCGGTGGTATATATATGGCGCCATTTTGGTATTTACTGCCAAAAAGTGATATCACATATTCGAATAGGTGATATCACCTATTCAGATTTTGAATAGGTGATATCACCTATTCGAATAAGGGATATCACCTATTCAAATAGGTGATATCTTCTATTTGATTTGATGATGTCACCATATCGTTTTGAATAGAAGATATCCCTTATTTGAATAGGTGATATCACCTATTCAAATTATTTATGAAATGAAAGAAAAAGTGAGCAAGCTCACATACCCCACGCTCCCCCAAAACTCAAAGTGCTGAAAATCTCGGAAAAAATGAAAGAATCGGAATTTCCCGGTAATATGCACATCTGCACATTGTGTCCTAAATATCTGCAAAGTTTGATGAAATTCTGTGCAGGGGTTTATGAGGAGTTGCGCTGAGAAACTGTTCATCACTATGTTCAAGATATCCCCAAAAATCTAAGTTGTAAAGTGCAGAAATTCCCAGAAAAATAAAGGACTCGGAATTTTCTGGTAAAATGCACATCTATACGTTGTGTCCTAAATATCTGCCAAGTCTGACGAAATTCTGTGCAGCGGTTTATGAGGGGTCGCACTGACAAAATGTTCATCTGTATATTCAAGGTATGGCCAAAAACCTAATTTGAAAATTGCCAAAATTCCCAGAAAAATAAAGGATTCGGAATTTCCTGGTAATATGCACATCTACACACTGTGTCCTAAATATCTCCAAAGTTTGACGAAATTCTGTGCTGCGGTTTATGATGAGTTGCGCTGACAAAATCTTCATCTCTATATTCAAGGTACAGCCAAAAATCTAAGTTGAAAAGTGTGGAAATTCGAAGAAAAAATAAAGGAATCGGAATTTCCTGGACATATGCACATCTACACATTGTGTCCTAAATACCTGCGAAGTTTGACGAAATTCTGTGCAGCGGTTTATGAGGAGTTGCGCTGACAAACTGTTCATCTCTATATAAAAGTTATGGCCAAAAACTTGTTATTAGTGCGGAAATTCTAAGAAAAAATAAGGAATCGGAATTTCCTGGTAATATGCACATCTACATATTGTGTCCTAAATATCTGCAAATTTTGACAAAATTCTGTGCAGCGGTTTATGAGGATTTGCGCTTACAAACTGTTCATCTCTATATTCAAGGTATGGCCAAATGCCTACATGTGTAAGTTAAAAAGTGCGGAAATTCCCGGAAAAAATAATGGAATCGGAATTTCCTGGTAATATGCACATCTACACATTGTGTCCTAAATACCTGCAAAGTTTGACGAAATTCTGTGCAGTGGTTTATGAGGAGTTCGCTGACAGAAAAAAGGACTGACTGACTGACACTCTGACGGACGGGTCAAAAACATTATACCTCACGCAACTAGTTGCGTGGGGTATAATAACAACAGCTCCTAAGACTATAGGCCCTTAAATCTTATTTACTTTCACTTTCGTTTTATAACACATCATTCTAGGAGACAATAGATCACAGTTTTGCATTTAGTTTTAATCAACTCCAATAGATATTGTAGATTGTTTTGCTCACAATTTAATTTATTTCACTTATCTATCATGTAAACTTTGAGAAAAATTGGGGAAATGCATGAAAACTGGGTAGTCCGAAATTTTTTTGTTCCAGTGTTTATCTATATATTATAGGGATCATTCATTATTTATTGTTGTAAGAAATTCAAATAGGTGATATCACCTATTCGAATTGGTGATATCACCAATTCAGATTTTAATAAGAGGTGATATCACCCATTCGAAAAGGTGATATCACTTATTCGAATAGGTGATATCACCTATTCAGCACGAATAGGTGATATCACGTATTCGAATAGGTGATATCACCTGAAGTTTTCATTTCCAGTAGGTGATATCACCAATTCGAATAGGTGATATCACCTATTCGAATAAGTGATTTCACCTTTTCGAATAGGTGATATCACGAATTCGATTAGGTGATATCACCTATTCGAATTAGTGATATCACCTATTCAAATAGGTGATATCACTTTTTGCCAGTAAATACCAAACCGGCGCCTCATAGGTATCGCCGGTTTTAGTTTAAATTACTCTAGTCCGAAAAATCTGATGTTTTCCTGGCTTTTTTCATGATTTTGATATTTTACATGCCAGGAAAACGTCAGAACCGGCGCCATAACGAAAAGTGGGAAATCGCCGCCTCCAAATGGAGGCGGCATTCTCGAGTAGATTTTAGATACTTGCGAACCGAATTAAATTTCAAAGTCACAAGTTATCAATAGTAGAATACTTAAAGTACCTACCAATATAGTTTTTATTGTTCATTTATAAAATATACAATCTGTTGAAAAGGTTTTATCACATTATGGAGATTTGTCATCATTTCGTGCATTTTAAAATCGTGCAACTCCTGTAACGAAGCAAGGCCAATGGAGAGATATTTTCTTTTCATCACTATTGGTGAGTACTAAAGGCATTGTTCTTTTAATAAATTCTGATTTCGGCATTTAGTTCGGTTCGCAAGTATCAAAAATGAACTCCGGTTGGAGACGGTGAAATTTCCACTTTTCGTAATGGCGCCGGTTCTGACGTTTTCCTGGCATGTAAAGTATCAAAATCGTAAAAAAGCCAGGAAAACGTCAGATATTTCGGACTAAAATTACTCCAGGGGAATTTCAGGTTAAAAAGGTAAGTGCGGTTTCGGTTGCGCTATGACCCCTTACCCCCAAATAAAATTCTTTCTCAAGTAGACAAAAGATGGACCGCCTTCATGCAAATATAGACGAAATAATTTTTAGTTCGTTTTTTTTAATTTAATGATAAAAATACTACAGTACTATGCGTTATAAAGCATTAAAATGTTATGCTTAACTAAACATTTTTATTAAAGGCATAGAAATTCAAGCATCTCTTTGATATTTTTCTCCTCAACCTGATCAAAACATATGTAGGGATTACTACGATTGTGACAGGTCAACATGGGATGCTCGCTTCTTCATGGCACCTGATCCCACCTCTGGAAATTCCAGGGGGTCCGTATTTTGTGCCCTCATCACAAATTCGAATTGTTAATAGAATTTTTGCGATCGATCGCTCTTCGTTTAACCTTTATTGTTCTTGAAGTGAAACTTTCGAGACGTTACGTGTTTCCAGCGCGATGAAATATACATATATATTTTTAATGGGAATCGTTATAAAACTGAATCTATAATTCAAATTGTTATTAAATGTTCAGCATATCTTTTTTCTTATCTCTGTAATAACTTTGCGGAAATATACACATCATTTGTGTCCATGCACCAAAGCGAAGCTTCCTGACAATGAAAAAATAATTGCTGTAGAGTCATTCATTCGGAATTTTCATTTCAAATAATATATATATGTAATTATGGTAAAAAACCTTATATTCCCCAACACAAATATTTTCCTTATATCTGATTTATTTTTTCCGTCTGAATGATAACAGTGACAAGGAGTAAAATTCTTATCAAATTTGATAAATCTTGTCTTTTCAATTTTTATTTTGTAAAACCAGCTACACCAAATTTGTTTCCATCCGACTTCTTTCTACAGGTACACAACATGTATATACCAGCTGCTCTACTCTTATTACAAATTTTGTCATGAAGAACAATTTAGAAACTCTTCATAAAAGTACTTATTTAGATCTATGTTGTAGTGTTTACGTAAATTTTTTTTTAAAAAAACATCGATTTTGATTTTGAATGTTGTCAAATTAACTTTAAACTGTGTTATATTTGTTTGGTCATTAAATACATTACAGATGCTGTTTTGAACTTTTGTCAACTTTGAAACGCGATTGATTTAAATTGTGTAATTTACAGAAAAGTCATACGTAATAAAACAATCATATTTTTTTCATTGTTTTACTGTTATATTCAAGTTAATATCTCATCTTAAGCTTATTAGACTTTGTGTTGTATTTTTTAATACCACAATGACTTTATGTAAAGCTCATCTAATCTTATGATTTTTTATATTAGAACTTGTCATAAAAACTCAATATGGCCTTGTAGAAGTTGTAAAAATTTATGTGTAAAACTATATCGGAAAAATTACGGGAAAAATCATTAACCGCGCATGTTTATTAAATTTATTTACTTTTCATGTACAATTGGATAGTTTCCGAACCACGCGATGAATGCCATACAGTTTTACAAAATTTTGATTTAATGAATTGTACATCTTTGACTTTGAAATATAAAATGGAATCATTGATCGAGCTATACGCGCACTAAACTATAAGGCTCCTGAATTTTTCTTTCCTATTTATATATATGTGCGTTTATTTTTTCTTCTTTAATCATTTATTTTTATTTATTTATTTATTGTAAACAATATTATTTATATCTGAACATAAAATTTAGTAAATTTAGAGAAGCATAAGTATATCAAATATTTTGTAGATTAAATTATACCGTAAAGTAAATAAATTTTAAGGGAGTTTCAGGGAACTGTCATGTAAAATTAAGTAATTAAAGCCGAAACAGTCACTGGTACAAAGTCATGAAAACTAATGCGAAAGTCACGAGAGTCAATTATTATTCAATTATTGAGCAATCATCTAACACATATATTATATCTAACTTTTCTCTATAATATATTTAATACAAGAAACTTACCGTAAATAACTTTATAACATTATCTCAGTGTAACCTCAATGTTGACCGTCCTAGATGAACGCGTCGTGTTTACCCTTTGATACACTATGGCGCCCTATATTAGCAATTCTTCCTAAAAATAAAAATACAACATTATAAGGTCAAATCTCATTTTTCTTTATTCTATCTTCATACAATGGTATATTCAAAATGAAATTTGCCTAAACACCTTCTAGATTTCATAAAATCAAGTGACAGGTAGAGCCTACCTCAGACAGCGATGTGTGTCCCAAGGGAAAGATAAATATGGAGTTAGGAAGGATAACTCCTATCTATAACCCGTTTCCTTGTATTAGTGTAGCATAACACAGAACATGAAAAAAGTGGGATGCATTTAAATTCAACATATTCACTATATTAGTATAATTTATAAGCAAATGTTGTTATAATTTTATTTAATGAAACTACACAGAACATGCCTACCATGAAAATATATGACGTATGTAGAACAAAACTATAAACAACAGGGAGGTAATAAAACGACTAAACATCACCACCTCAATATACTAAAAAAAAATGGTTACCAAACAGCGCTACCTCTGTTCAAACTGTAATTTTGCATAAAAATATCTAAACATATTTTGCACTTTTTAATTGATGGGTTGGC